ATTCAAAAGCAATGCATAAGTGTCGCTTATGCACAAAGTAGTCATAAATGCGAACAATGTGATGCTTATCCTCAGGATCAAACTTCTTATTCAACTGAAGAAAAACCAAAGTTTAAAGAAAGATAAATTACAGCATCCACATTAACTTAACTGCTATCGCAGTAAAGTTTTTTTTAAATACGTTAGCAGTAGAGATTCTAACTGTTGTCAGGATAGAAACTTCAACGAGAGCTTGTTGATAATACGCTGGTTGATTTTTTATGACTTTCACAGCAACAAAACAATCTGTTTCTGCAACCCAGCATTTAGCAACCTGCCCAAACGTACCATGCCCAAGACTATCTTTGACAATGTACCTACCAAAGAATTTAAAAAGATAAAAAACACACATACACAAATAAAAGTTAATTACAAGAATACAAGTACACCAATAAACCAATCATTTGCTAGAACTAAATTTGTTTTGACATTATTTTCATGCCTCGGGAATTTACAAGGTCATGTGCTTGATGTTGTGTATAAGGTATTCAAAGTTGTGAAGAATCTTGAGAAAATATCCGGGTGCACACACCAAAAAACAAAATTCCTACGTCTAGTTCAAATCAACAACCCATACTTGCTATAACAGTAATTGACTTAAAGAAATATTTCAAGTTGTTTGCTTCTACTTGTGGACAACTTAAGGTGCATAGAGAAGGGGGGAGAGAAATCAAACTATCAAAGCAAAGAAATTCATATTGAAAGTTTTGCGTAGTGGTATGTTGTGAACAAAATGCTATGAGGAGAAAAAGTAAAGCACTTTGTTTCAGAGGATGATGAACAAAATCATAAACATTAGGCTGAAAAATCAATTTTCACACTAACAAACTTAAACAAATAATTTTGGTAGTCTGTAGATATATATGAGTTGTATTACTTGTATAGTGTAAATAAGCACGCATTGACATGTTCACTGTAAATAGAAGAGACAGATGACAACCGTCTAAACTTTCACTAATAGGTAAATCCCTGCCAGAATTTATTTGTACCAAACTGCTCATTCTTAACACACGATGTATATTGCAAAGAGATACACAACATAAATTATGAGTGCATAAGCATAACTACAGACCTTCTTTGGGTGTCTATATTAGTCAACTCAAGATTGCAAAAGAGAATGAGGTCTGAATTTGCATTATCATGTCCATCATTCAACACCCCTACAGCAGGGGTTGTCAAGAATCTTTTTGGATTCAATTCCTCTGTATATTGAAATTGGGGGTTGCATATGTGGTAGGTCTCAACAATATCCTTGGTTAATCTTGCCACCAACTGCAAAGTAGAATCCATCATGTCACTAGAATGATCATGTATTTTAAACTTCAATTCTACAAGACTACATGAAATTAAGCCCAAGAGTTGGCTCATAGCCTAATCTCTTTCCGCAATCAAATGTATTGGGCTAATAAGTCAATTATTGGATATAAACAGGAGCTACCAGTTGATTATTATAGGCCTGAGCCTGAATCTATTAAGTTCAAATGTGCAAGGATGACTAATAAGGAGACAAACTTCGAAGAGTTAGCCTGTAACCACGACTTCTTCACAACAATGATGATTTGTTATGTTGATCACCTAGGGATTTTGACAATCAGTCTGTCCAGATGAGAAGAAAAGCAATCTAACGTTTCTGTTCAGTTTGGTAGGAAGGCATGGTAGCAGGAGAAAAGCATACCTTCTGACTCCGGTGAAGTATATGTTGATTCTTTCATGCCTGTGTGTGTTTTGTACAATCGCAATATTCTTCTAATTTGCATGAAATTGGCATGTTGCACTCATTTCCATTTGATGCTTAAATATGTTGGAGTCTTTTTTAAAATTGTAACTAGTGTACACGATGATTAATTATTTGATTCTCAAAGCGATGGCTTAAAATGCCTTGGGCCAATTATCCAAAGTGGTGGAGAGATTGATGGTGTTGTCCCCCATCGTATCAGAGTGGGATGGATGAAGTGGAGGCTTACATAGTTACATCCGGAGTCTTGCGTGAAAAAAGCGTGCCACTGAGACCGAAAAGAAAGTTTTATAGGCCAACAGTCCATTCGGCCGTTGTATGGTCAATTAAGCTCACCCGCATGCAAAAGCTTTGGGCATGAGAATGCTTGGATGGATTTGCGGTTATACTAGGACTAGGAGGGACAAGATTAGGAATTAATATTTGCAGGATAAAGTAGCAGTGGTCTCACTTCCTGTGGCAGAGATGTGAATGCTGCGATGGATGTGTGAACAGAAGAGGTTTGATAGAGTTCAAAACAAGGGGTTGAGTGAGAGTAACCCCTGTGGAGGATAAGCTATGGGAAGCTAGGTTGAAGGTGTTTGGATACGTGAAGTGTCGTAGTGCAAAGGCTCTAGTGCAGAGAAGCAAGAGGCTTATAGTAGTGGGTGTGGTGGTGTAAGGGGCAAACCTAAGAATAGTTGGAAGGTGGTGATTTGATAAGACTTAATACTTCTGTCTCTTACCAAGAATGACCTTAGATAGGAGCACTCGAAGAGTTAGGAACAGAGTAATTGGGTAGTTGTCTATGCTTTAGAAGTAGACAGAGGATTTGGATTTTGCTCACTCACAAGATGACCTTAGATAAAAGAGTGTAGAGGTCGAGTATTAGAGTTGGGTTGCAAGTTGGGGGCTTTCAAGAAGGTTTGGTTCCTCGAGATAGCTTGGTTAATGGTTGCTTTTACTATTCCCATTGTTTGGTGTGGATTATCTTTCCTTCAGTCATTGTACCAGTTTTACCCTTTCTCTTTTTCATGGGATCATTCTAAAGTATTTCATTTGTTCTTGTGAGTCGGTGCCTGTTTGAAAAAAGCATCTCAACCCTTTGTTTTCCATAGGCGTGTAGAGTAAGGTCTCCATGCACCTACGCTCCCCAGACCAAACTTGTGGGGCTTCACTAGGCCAGTTTTTGTTGTAAGCAGTGAATTGGACGGTTTGCAGATAAACAACCCCTTGATTTTCAGCCTAAGTCTCTGTTCTTTTTTGTTGGAATTCTAATGTTGGATGTTAGAAGAAACTGAAAAAAGTTGGAAGAAACTGGAAAGAATTGGAAGAAACTGGAAGGAGCTGAAACAAACGGGAAGGAGCTAGAAAATGTTGGAAAGAATAAAGTGTTAAAAAAACAGTCAATTAAATCATCACCCAAATAAATATGTAAGAAATATAATTTTGGATATAAGATAGAATTCATCTATGTTCGTGTTTGATGTGTTATGTTATAAATTTGGATATATAATGTTACTGTATAGTCATCATTATGTAAATATATTTTTTAAGTCATTGGAAAAACTGGAAGGAGTTGGAAAAAATGGAATGTGTTGGAAAAACTTGAAAGAGTTGGAAGAAACTAGAACTAGTTGGATAAAGTTGGAAGTTAGTTTTTCCAACCGAAAAGAACAGAGCCTAAGTGCATCAAGGTGGAGAAAGCAATGTAGAAAAATCATTTTTATGAACATTTTAAATAGGAAAGCTTGATAGCAGGATCCTTACATAAACCACTTTGGGATGAGGAACACTAGATGGATGCAAAGATAGGAAAGAAAAGTTAATAAATTGTTAGTGTGTAGAAACAACCATGAAATAAGGGTACTATGATCATTTCTTGGAATATTTACCTATCACAAAAACTATACGAACCTAAGTGATAAAGTATAGGAATGGTAGAAATAATATTATCTGAAGTAGTAGTGAGAGGTTTCATGAGGCATAATTAATGGCAACCCTGATTTGGCTCAACAACACACGCAAAAACCCAAAGTTGAGTCATGAACTTAAGTAGTACTTACAGGTCTTCTGACACCCACGCGCAAGCTTTCAGGCCTAGCATCTTGAATACCTTTTGAAAAAGGAATGAAGGCAAGCTGGCTGGGGCGCCATGGTGTAGTGGCATGCGCCTCTGATGATGATTGCAATGATGGTGAAGAGGAAGAGCTACTTTGTGGAACAGATTCCAGGAACTTATATTGTCTCCCTTCATCACAACTAGTACTGGCATCATCCATTAATACAGAAATCTACTTAAGAAGCAATATAAGTTGCCCAAAGCTGGAAACTATCCCAGGCAGCAGATCATTTGATACCCCAGCATAGGGGTCCTAATCTTCATGAAATTTAGGAAAGAATTCACCGGAAGATTCTAATCCCATCCTCATTCACGCGCCCAAATTCACTCTACAAACAGCTCCTGCTCTTCAGCATTAGATCCATCCCAGGTGAGCCAGCTATTTCTATATTGTATCTATCTAGAGATTGAAAATACTCTCCTTCGGAAACAATCAAAATATTGCTAAAACTACAAAAGATCAACTTTTTATTCTAGAAGCCTAGGCAGATGACTAAAATACAAAAATCTACCAAAGTGCAGAAAATACACACAAGATACAACAGAATGATCGAAGCAGACGAAGATGATTCGAATAGATAAAATGGAAGATTGACTGAATTGAGTGTCCGCTTCGGAGTTGGGAAAGGGAGAAATGCTGTAGTTTCCAGAGAAGCCACCGTTGTTGATCTTCTCTCCTAAAGAGATTTTACAGTTTTGTTCTTTTTCTTCAACCCGCATACATCATTGAAGCTCCAGCAATTAATTTCTTCTCCCCTTCCTCTTTTTTCTGCTATTTTCAGTTTTGCCCCAACAGTACTACAAGAGTAGCCTTCCTTTGTACTCTTCTTTAAAATCACGATTTTAACAGGAAACTTAATCAGGTTCACGTAATAATAGATAACAAAAAGGAAAAGGTTGTGTACACCGCTTGTACACCATATACCCCCTCCCTCTTTCTTCTCTCTATACCCCTCCCCTACTTTTTTTCTCTCTCCCTCTCTCTCTCTCGCAGATCTCTCCACGGAAGAAAGCAGGGAGCGGGCAACTAATGGAAGACCAGCCCTTCTCCCAGAATTCCTCCTTCGTCTTCCTCGTTCTTCCGTAGTGACATCGCCTACTCGCCTTCCTCAGTCTGGTGCATCTGTGGATGATCCAACTTGGCGGAGACTTCATCCTTCATCTTCTTCGATCTTCTGCGCCCTAACCACCGTACAACAACAAACTAAAGGTTATAATAAACACTTTTTATTTCAATTTTAGGGTTTTTATTTGTAAAGCCAAATTCAATCACTCAATTCTAACCACAAATCAATCCTTCCCTCTTGTGAAATTAGTCTTTTTTAAATGTTTTTTTGTGAATCATTGTTTCTCAAACTTGTCCAGTCATTTAATTCTTTTTTTAATCTTTTCAATGGCTGATTTTTTGTTAAAAACTTGGGGTAATTGGGAATTTTTCATGTTTATGACGAAATGTCTGTGTAGTGTTTGTTATTGGTGAAAAATGTTCGTATTTTATTTAAAATTTGCTCAATTTCATAAATTGCTTTGAAATGTCTATGATGTGCTTCTTGTTGGCACAAAATGTCTGTATTCTAAGAAAAAACTTGCTTTGATTGAAAATTACTCTAAAATGATTGTGATGTGCTTATTAGTGGTGTGGAATGCATGTTTTCCAATTAAGAGTCTACTTAGTTTCAACACTTGCTATAAAAAGTCTCTAAACTGCTTCTTATTGGATCTTTTATTCATTGTCTTGATAGCTACATATACATTGCTTTTTACATGTATTTGAAAGATATGTCAACTCAATGATAGTGAATGTCTCAAGGTATTTAATTAAATTTTTAAAACTTATAAATTAAGAACATACTCTAACGGTGGAAATTTTTGTATGTTACATTTGCAATGCCGATTGTACAATTATTTTCCTTTTGTTAGAATTTGTTTTCACTGGTAACTTGTAGAGGGTTAGGTGTTTGTTATTTTTAAGGGCTTTGGTTTAGTTCACTCATCTCCTCTTGTATTTTTAATTTTGATAAAAAATGTTTTTGTTGAATTAATCTCTTTGAATACAACACTCACAGACAATTAGTGTTTATGGTTTAGCATTCACAAACAAAAAATGTCTATGAATGTCGCAGCTTACTCGTCCAGCTATTGTGTCTACTCAGATTGCACATGAATCCCAAGAGAGTGCAATTGGCAAAAAATGGCATCAGACTTGGAGTATCAATTTGACTACACCAAATCCTTCTCAAAGTTTGGTTAGGAGGTACTAGAAATATAAGATAAATCATATTTACTCATGTATCAATGTAATTGAATAAATTTTCCTTGTTTATATTGGGGTTAAGAATGTGTTTTTGCAAGGTATTGTCGAAGAACTTCTGTCGTCCACATATGTTAAAGGAATTATATTCTATTTTTGTTTAAACTCCTTATTTTAACTAAGATGACAAACCATTTTGTTTGTATCTTGTCTGTGATATTACCTTTATCTTTACAGTTTGTGCAAACAAATGACTCTTTAATTTTATTATTTTTTAATTACTTTTGTATATTATTTGTGCAGGTTATCAGTGACATATAGGTGATTCAATAGCAAACCTTTATATTTCAACAAATATAATTAGGGAACAATTGTATGAGGGGATCATATATATCGGATTGTAAAACTCTTATTAACTTTTTAATAGTGAAAAGTATTAGAATTTAATATATTTATAAGTCACTTGTAATTTGTATTGAGTTTTTGTACTTGGTAAATTGCACTATATGATTCACATAAAAAAAGGTACTCCATTAGTCCATTTTATTTCAATGTTCTGTTTTTGAAGTTGTAATAATTGGGGAGGCTTAAACGTTGCGTTAGTATTAAAAAAAGGGTTGCAAAAATTGAAAAGAAAGATGTCATATGTTAAGTCTTTCACTACTCTTGAAAATTGTTGCATAGACAAAAGTGTCTGTAATTCATTAGAAATAGATATTTATTGTCTATTTAACCTGTGTAAAAATTAAATGCATCAAATATACCAAAAATTAAATGCGTCAAATATACCACATAATGTAAAAATTAAATGCGTCAAAAATTAAATGCGTCTCCAGATTATAAAAAAAAGCTTTAATTATCACTTTCTACTTAAATAGACATTCAATATATGAAATTCTTGATACATCAAGAACATTCTATAAATTTCTTAGTGTTTATAAAAAGAGAAAATTACACCACGATCTCTGTCAAAATCTACAGCTCCGACTACGTTGTTGAAGACAAAAATGATTGCGGTGGCGATCTAGGAGGAAAGGACGATTACGGGGAAGCCGGTGGCGGCGAAGAAATTGAACCTGTGCTTCGTCACCCTTCTCCAATCCAAATCTCACTTTTGTTCTCCATCTAACTAATATATGAAAATTGCACTTGTCAAATATATCAAATAATACAATAATAAGAATACATCATGATTTTTTCTTATATTGTAAAAATAAACTAAGTACGGAGTATGTTTTGGTCACATAGACAACAAGCGTCTGTAATTCATAGTAAACAGAAACTTATTGTCTGTAAAATCTAAATACAAATTTACATCTGTCAAATATACCAAATAATGTTATCATAAAGAATGTTTCACAATTTTCTCTAGATTGTAAAAAAGAAAAAAAATTATAATTACCACTGTTTAATTACACAAACACTAAATATCTATAATCCTTGATACATAGACATTTATTATTTGTGTAATTCAGATAAAAATTTCACCCTTCAAATCTACGAAATAGTATTCTACCAAGAACATTTCAGAAATTTTCTTATGTTTAAAAAAAATGAAAAATTACAATCAATACTGTTTAGTCACACAGACACTAAAAGTCTTTATTTTATTGAACACAGACATTTACTATTTGTGTAATCTGAATCAAAATAGACATTTACTCTCTGTGTAAATATATTTCACAGACAAAGAATGTCTATAGAATCATTATTTATTCTCTTCCACAACTATTCAAAATTAGCGCAACCTTGTTCAATTTTTTTATTTAATAGATCCTCAAACACTTTTAAAAAACACAAATCTTACAGAATATCAAATATTCAATATCTATGCAACTTCATTATTGTAAGAGTTCTATGAGATAGTTTCTCACAGACACCATAAACCTGTGTGATTCTTAAAATGATGAAATATCATTATTTCACAAAAATATTAAATCAGACTCCAAGAAGTCACAAATAAATATCTAAGACCAACAATAATCATAATAAGAAGTTTTTACACGGATTTGATTTGAAAAAATCAAAAGATTGAGGTGTTGATGGTGACGGGGAAGGAGGAGACGACGACAGAGTTGATGCTGCATGGCGATGGGTAAGGTGTTGGTGGCAACCACAGGGAAGAGACCGCCGGCGGAGGAGATGATGCAGCGCTGGAAAATCGATGCTTTTGGTCGAAAANATTTCACAAAATATTAAATCAGACTCCAAGAAGTCACAAATAAATATCTAAGACCAACAATAATCATAATAAGAAGTTTTTACACGGATTTGATTTGAAAAAATCAAAAGATTGAGGTGTTGATGGTGACGGGGAAGGAGGAGACGACGACAGAGTTGATGCTGCATGGCGATGGGTAAGGTGTTGGTGGCAACCACAGGGAAGAGACCGCCGGCGGAGGAGATGATGCAGCGCTGGAAAATCGATGCTTTTGGTCGAAAAAGAGAGAGACGGTTGCTTCTCATCTCTAGTGGTCTATTTTGAGGTGGAAAAGAAAAGGGGGGAGGGGGAGGGGGGAGGGGTATATGGGGTACAAGTTGGGGTACACATGTGGTGTACCCCTAGCACATCCGTAACAAAAATCATACCAACTCTTTGATGACAATCACATACTCCCTTCATGTTAATTATACTTAACCAAAATAAAAGTAAAACTTTAAGTTTTTCAATTAATTGTATTCAAAGGTTGGTATAGAAATAAAAAAAAAATAAAACTTGCATATTGAAAAAATATACCAAAAATTCTACAAAATAAGAGGTGACAAAAATATTTTATTTCATCAAATAATCAATAAAAATATATAAATGAATAAAAGTTTTCTTGATTTTTGAATAATGAGAAGTGTAAAACTTTGTGAGACGGAAGGAGTATGATTGATACATACACAGAGGATAATCGTCTGTCAACACAAAAGATTATCGTCTGTGAATGTATGAAATTACATGTGATTGTTATCTATGGAGACACCTGCAATGGATTCCTAGAATGACCTAATGCAAACATTCTTAGATCATATATACTTGTGGGCATTGTATAGTTGGCAACGAGAAGGGGTGTTAAGGGGGTTAGACCCAAGTTTGATTATTAGCAATCGCGCTAGGAGCTCTGCAAATGACAAGTGCAAGCTCCACTCTTTGCAACCAATTTGTGATCAAAGTTTAAATTGTTTCATCTCAATTACTGTTCGGCTAGCTTTGAAGGAACCCTCAGGATAAGACTCATCTTATTATTCTTAGAGCATATATATATATATAGTGGGTTGCTTTAGTAACCCTACATAAAGTGATGTTTCACATAAATTCTACATCACTTTTTTAGGTGGTATAATTTCTTAAGAGCAGTGGTACTACACGTAACGCTGGGGGCATCAATGGGCGTTTAACGCTGGTGTGGCGTTAAACACCGCCCCCAGAGGAGTTATCTCGGTGTTAGGTACCTAGTGTCAAACATTTGACGCTGCAAATGGCCATTCTTTTTCGGCCATTGGCTCTCCCCCACCCCTTCCAATGGATATTTAGCCGTTAAAACCAAAAAAATCCTCTTCCCATAAGTTTCATTTATTTTAAAAAAAATCAAACACACACAGCTCTCTATATCTCTCTCTCTCTTCTTCAAATTAAAAAAAAATTCTTCAAATATTTTATTATATTCTATTCATTTTAATTCTCTATACAAAATGTTAAAGAAAATGGATCATCTTCATCTCATGATGAAAAGAGAGCTCTCATTTTTTGTTGTTTCGCATCAGTTTGTTATCAATGGTGGCAACAAGGCCAACGAGAAGAAGCACAGTCGTCCTAGTGCCGGACCCGACATCAGTCTTTAAATCGTGATCGGACGGATGCACACGCTTCTACGGCTATTCATGTTTAGGTCCAGACCGAAAAACCCAACCAAAACGGAACGATAGGTCTAGACCGAACCCGGACTAATTTAGGGTCAGTCTTTGGTCCATACTTTTTAAAATTTCGGGTTTCGGTCCAGTCTGGTCCAGCCCTAAAATAATATAGGTCCAGACCGAGAGGTTTGATTGCAACTCTTAATACTCTGTACTCCGGCTGTGACGTATCATCATTCAAGGCATTCATCAACAAATCTCGAGCCCTATTTCTCCCCCAATCTTTGGATTCAGTCTTTCCCTCAAGAATCACTTTCATACTTTTCCACCATCTGTAATGCCCCAAAACATATCCTAAACTTTATTGAATTAAATATTCAATTAAACAAATTTTTTTGATTAAAATAAATTATTATTGGGCTTTGGGACGATATGAAATATGTTTTGATATCCAATATCACAATCAGGATAAATCTCATAAAGATAAATTCAATATGTTGACTATTTGTATAATCTTGATTGGGACCAGAGTAGAGACCCAAAACAAGACCAGAATAAATAAAGAATTTGTTTATGATGTAAACTTTGAAATGATTTATTTCAATAAATCATGAGAATAAATGATATGAATTAAATGTGAGAAATTTTTTGAATAAAGGTCAATTAAATCAATTTTGACTCTGTCAAAGTCAAACACCAAAAATATGATGTTGGAAAAGGTATTACAAATACTCATGAAAATTATATCGTTAAATAGAGTTTGAGTGTCTGATCGCAACGGTGCAAATAGAATTTAATTTGGAAAAAGTTGGACCAAATAGTGTACCTTGACTAGGACCAAATTAGGGAACGACGCCTCCTCCTCCACTACGTCGATCGTGAATCACAATTGACTCAGCAAGGATCGGCTTCTTCTTCCTCAGGCTTTTGCTATAAAAGGAGAACCTACTCCTTCGTTTCTTCACCAATCCTCTCCATTCTTCCTTCTATTCTGTTCTTTGTTGAGAGAGGAGTGCAGTGGTGCTGTCAATTTGGTGAGAGGTCGATGGAGTTGGGAGCAATCGTCGCTGGGAGTTTCACCAGAGAATTTCCAAAACCTCAATTTAAGCTCGAGGTAAGCCCGTAGATATATCTAGTGACTAGAATGTTCGTATAGATCGTTTCTAGGTTCATAAACGGTCGTTTGGTTGAGTTTTGTGTTTGATATGTTTGAAAAACCAAGAATCATAAACCATGAAATTGTTGTTAAAACTATGAATTAATGATTCCAAAATTGTCTATGAACCTTAAAGAACATTTCAATATAATTTAATTAGAGCTTGATGACAAAAAATGGGGTTGGAGAAAAACGACCGAACAAAGAAGACGATGAACAGTATACATTAATCGATTAACTCATGCTGATTAATCGATTAATAGATTAATTCATGTCGATTAATACATTAATTCATGTTTATTAATAGATTAATTCATGATTTCATGTTAATTAATAGATTAATTCGTGTTAATTAATCTATTAATTGATTATTCCGC